CTGCAACTTCATCTGGGGACTTCGGCACTGGATAACCACATGACTGCACAAAAGAAGGTAAAAAAGAGCACATGGCTTCGTTGGGATTTAGTCCTAACACTTTCTGAGGAATTACAGTAGCATTTCTTTTAGAGAAAAAAAAAAAGTTCTCTACCCATCACACACAGAAATAAACTGCTGAGAGATTTGTGTAAGCTTATTGCGATTGTCTCCACATTATTGATCCTGTGGCTGTTCTGTGAGGCAATTGCAAACAATAACTCATCATTGCATGATAGTTGAAAAAAAAAAAAAAAGAAAGAAAAAGGAAAGGGAAGTGGGCGTGCAATCTGAGTACAGATTCTGACCTGCTTTCTGTGCCTCTGAGCATCAAGATAAATTTAAGCATCAGCTGCCCAAACCTTGAGCCCTATACAGTGCCATAACTACACACACACACAAAAAAAATGCAGTTTACTGCCTCATCTTTAATTCTGCTGCGTAGAGCAGAGCTGTTGCATTATAGTGCTGATGTATTGGCGATGCTGCTATTTGAAATGCTGCTAATGCTAAAAATATAATACAGGACTATGCTTCTTCTACAGTAACAAGTGAATTACATATCAAAGAGAAAGCTATTTTAACTAAAGTATGTATAGATAATGCCAAATAGCAGCACAGAAGATATTCAAGTTTGGGCTGTAAGATTATTTCTTTTGCCAAGTACTAGTGTTTTGTGAGCACTGACATTAAGCAAACAATGGGCATGTCTGATATCTTTGCTTGAGTCATCAATGAAAATATTGAAAAGTATCAGTGTCTCTGTGAAAACAGATCTGAGTACTCAAAAACTTCCTGAAGAATCATTCGTTGTTTTAACTGGTTTCTTTTATGTAACCAAACTAGAACAGCTAATGCTATTAAACATGTTGCATTGAACGCTAAGTGATAAGAAAGTGCAAGAATAAAGCACTATCCAAACCTATTCCTGAAGGAGAAGCACGTACAAATATGTGACCTTCTCATAATATTGAGTCTCCTGTTAAAAGCTAGCATGTAAGAAGCAGAGACCTGTATTTAACTGTAAGTAGAATAAATTAAAATTAAAATAATTGGAAAACCAACTGATTTAGAAGGGACCTGAAGAGTTCCACCTTGAGTTAAGAATAGAAAGATTTGTATAGCGTGTTCCTAAAGGCTTCCCCAGGCAATCTCGGCCAGGGTTTCTCTACCTCCAGTGATAACGAGAACAGAATTAAGTCAGAAGATGCTTTCTGGGCACCCCTCCATATATTTAACCCTCCATATATTTAACGCCAGACTTATATGGTGATACGTTTTAGCAAATGTAAATGTTTCCAATCTCTAGCTACTTCCATCAGCATGAAATGCAGCCCTTTCAAGAACACTTTGCCGTAGGAACTAATTAGCGCTCTGAAATTTGAACTGCTTAAATGCATGGTTATTTGTATTATTCACATTTGTGCTCCTCCACCACTCCTTTATGAAAGAAATTCTACTGTCATCACCAGCTGCCATGAAATACGATTTACTGATTGTATTTCTGGGTTGTCAGAGCTAAACTATATCTTTAATTCATATAAAATAAACCATATTATTTGATATAAACTCTGTTTGTTGTTTAAAAATCATCAGATTGTGTAAGAAAAAAAGAAATCATTTCAAGGCATAATTTGGATAGCTTGTTAGAGTTATGAAGTGCTGTTGATGATACATTAAAGAAAGGTAATTAAAGGAATTAGTGAAGTACTAGATACGAATGTTTAAATTATTTACGCAATAAGCTCATTTTGAGTTGTAATAAACTTTGTCTTTACAAATGAAATACACCACCTGGTTTAATTATGCTATGTATTCTGCCTGTTGGTCGGATACCTTGGAGTCAGGGAATAAGGTCATATATGGGGGGACTCCATATATGGAGCCTCTGTACCCATTTTGGTCATCTCCTGTTGTTAAGTACCCTGAACAAGAAAAACGTAAAATGAAAAGTTTCTGGGTATTCAGCAGGGCTGGCAGCATGGTATGACGGTATTAAAATAGTTTCTGTTCCTCTCCACTGCGGCTGCGTTAAAGCTTTCCATGATGTGCTCAAGGAGTTCTCTGACCTTTCCTTTCTTTTTGTGTCTTTCTTTTCTTGACCTTCTCCTGAGCAAGAAAAATCCCCTCCCAGCTCCAGGTTTTCCTGCATGTTGCTGTGAAGCGCCTGACGCTGAGCGGTGCAGAAGGGGCTCGCGCTGAGACCCAGGTGCCCGGGCACTCTCCCCCAGGCTGGGGGCACCGGCCTCGTGTGGCCTTTGTCACCGAGGCTCCTGGCTCCCTGTGGCAGCAGGGGGATGTTGAGACTGCGACGGCACCAGGAGATCCAGTGGTGGGGAGAGCCAGACTGGGGCGCACCGAGGGCGGCTGAGCCAAGGGGGCTGAGTCTGGGACCTCTTTATAAAGCTGCACTGGGAATATTTCAGCTTGCAGATCGATTTAAATTTGCATCAGGACTTTTTGGGGTTGCACTTGATCAATTTCGGGCTGCATCGGGACTATTCCGCGTTGCACCAGGACTACCCCCGGTTTCCCTCTGCGCTCTGCGGTGAGGCTGGCACGCGCATCTCCCGCGGGCGCG